AGACAATGTGACACTGTTTAATTGAAATTAAAATAATTGCCAGTATTACAGTTCCAATATTGTGTAAGAGAATTTTGAATTCAAATATTCACATATTGTAATATAGACACAAAATTTACAAGACGCAATAAAATTTATTTTTATTAATAATTATTATAAATTTAAATAATAAACATCTTAAACATATTTATTTGGCCTAGTGGACAAACGTCGAGACGAACGTATAACTTTCGAAATTGTTGTTATTATAAATTATTAGTAATTGTAATTTAGAATTACTAATATCAGGAAAATTTCAATTCAGATTTAACTATGGAGTTATTACGAAATTTTCGCCACTTGTTATATTCGGAATTGACAATTGAGAGAGAGTGCAGTGCAAACACAATACAAATATATAATGTAGCGCAAAAATACCCTAACCCTAAAAAGTGGGTGTATAATATTCATCTCTTACTAAAAAGGTGTGACTCACACAAGTAAAGTCATCATCTTCATGCGTGCATGTATATACATACAAAGATGCATGTGGGTGTGTTGCCCATGCTAGGCAAAAGATATCGGCAGCTGGCCCCGGAATCGTGAGAGACTCGGGCAGATGGCCCGCTCGAGTCTCGAGTGTGGTGTGTCGGTACACAGAGCAACACAAAAAAACACACGGAATCCTACGCCTTCCTTAGGAAGGAACCACCGAGGTTTCCCACGGATCGCGGGTCTCATCTGTCCATTCTCCTCGTTCCTTTTTTTAAGCACGACACAGAGTCTCCTCATCGACTGTGTCTACGCGTCTGCCACCCTCGATCTTGACACGTTTCACCACTAATATTCGCGTCACTTGATCGTCTCTCATTCTTTATTTATGTATTAGTTTCTTCACTCTTTCTCTCTCTATATATATGTATATGTATAATGCCGTAAACGAGCATCACTCACTTTAAAAACACGTGGTCCTCGATTGCCATTAAGTGGATGGCTAAGATTGACGTTCATTCCCTTCGCTTTCAAAACCATTCACGACTCCTGATCAAATAATCACCTTCTTATCATTTCTTCTATACTTGACAACATAAATACTCTGTAGTATTAATAAATACTATTTTGTATATATATTTTCATTTATTTATACACTCGTCTATTGCTTAATACTATTACTTTAACAAGTGTGTACCCCTTGAAGATTCCACTCTCTAAATTTACATTAGGGTATAGGTGGTCAATTTTTATAAAAAATATTTTCTAATCCTTTTTGTCTAAAAAAAAGCGATTTTTAATTAAATCTGTTTTCTAAAAACAGTTTTCCTAACAAGTTTTGATTTCTAGAAAAAGTTTTTCAAAAAAGTTATGATTTCTAATATTTATTAGCAAACAATTCGCGCGGCTAACTTCTTACGCTGCTTTTTTTTTTAATAAAATTAGCAATTTTAAAAATAACAGAATTTAAAGATTTTCTAATTTAAATTCTTGTTGAAAACACTCAAAATTCTTATAAAATTCAACTATATGTCTAAAATTTCAAAAAAAATGAAATTCTTATAAAATTCAACTATGTTTAAAATTTGAAAAAAATTCTCGTGAAATTTCCAATTATCTTTATAAATAACAAAATTCTTCTCCAAAGTTCAATTATTTTCATAAATGTCAAAAAAATTCTTGTTCTAATTTCAATTATTTTCAAAAATAAAATGCATTTTTCTAATTTCAATGATTTTCAATATCTACATTTTAATAAAATTTCCCAAAAAGAATTCAACTATTTAAAAAAAAATTTTAATAAAATTGTATGCAAACATTTAATTATTTTCATAAATAATAAAAATTTCACAGGAATTCGATTATTATTTTCATAAAAAATAATTGGAAATTCTGGAAGTTCAATTATTTTAAAAAATTTTAATAAAATTCTTAGCAAAATTTCAATTACTTTCAAAAATTTTCCTCAATTCAATGATTCCAAAAAGAATTCAATTTATTTAAAAAAAAATTTAATAAAATAATTCTACACAATCCATTAATTATTTTTATAAAAATAATAAAAATTTCACAGGAATTTAATTATTTATAAATTACTCTCTAAATCTGAATATGTGAAATTTCACTTATTGTACGTTATAAGTCGTCCTCTCGATCAATAAGTGCATATACACTTATAAATAAGTGAATTTTTCACTTATTCTGAGTGAAATTTCACTTATTATAAGTGTATATGCACTTATTGATCGAGAAGACGACTTATAACGTACAAATATGTGAATTTTCACATATTCAGATTTAGAGAGTATTTTATAAATTTCTTCGTAAGAATTCAATTCTTTACATGAATAATTAAATTTTTTACAGACATTCAATTATTTTCATAAACAATAACATTTCTACAGGGATTTAATTATTTTGGTAAATAATAAAATTCTTAGTTGGAATTCAATTATATTGATAAATAATAAACCTCGTTACAGAATTGCAATTATTTTTAATACAATTATTCCTAAAGTTCCTCAAAAGAATTCAATTATTTAAAAATTTAATTATCTTAATGAGAATTCAATTTTAAGAAACACACAATTATTTAATAAATTGTTTTTTTGTATTTAAATAATTAAATTCTAGTAGAATTTTGTCATAAAAATTTTTTTAAAAATGTATTTCAGTTAAAATTTTAGATATTTTCTAACAATTCTGTGGAATTAATTTTTTTTTGAGAAAGTTTAATTGCGGATTTTTTTAATATTATTTGAAGTTTTTATTTTGTAATATATATTTAATTGAAGAATTTACAAATAATTGAAATTCCGTAAAATTAAATATTGTAAACAAATGGATTTGAAAACTGTCAAAGTAGGTACTAAATTTTGTTGAAAAAGTTTTTTTTGGATTTTTTTTTTACATTATACATTCAATTATCCAATAAATTATTTATTTTTGTATTTAAATAATTGAATTCTAGTAGAATTTTTCAATAAAAATTTATTTAAAGATGAATTTCAATTAAAAATTCTTGAAAATAATAATTGAATTGAAATCCTGTTCCAAAAATAAGATTAAAAATAGAAATTGTGCAAATATTTTTCTTCTTTTTCTATAAGAAAATATGTAAAAATAATTATAACATAATAATATAATATACAATCTATATCTAAAGATAACAAAAAACAAAAGTATAAACAAAAGACAACTTCAGAGTGTGAGAGACAGAAGAAGTGAATGAATGAAAGAACATTCAAATTATTATATGTATAATATTTCTGAAATTTGTCAAATTCTATAATTTTGATAAAAATTAGAAAATTGTTAAAAAGTTAAGATTAGGAAATACAAAAGTAAATAATTTATTGAATAATTGAATGTTTATTAAAATTGAATTCTCATAAAGAATTTGATCATCAAGTTTTTAAATAATTGAATTCATTGGACGAATTTTAATAAAATTTTAAGAATAATTCCATTTTTCGAGAAATTCGATTAAAATATTGTATTAAAAATAATTGAAATTCTGCGATCAGTTTTATTATTTATGAAAATTATTGAATCACTTTAAAGAATTTATGAAAATAATTGAATTAAATTTATAAAAAATTTGTAAATAATTTGAATTCCTGAAAAAATTATATTATTTCTGAAAATATTAATTATTTATTATTATTATTATTATTATTAAACGTTTAATACGTTTACGTAGAATTAAATTACAATTTTTTTAAAATAATTTAATTTTTTTGAAAAATTCTATTTATTACTTTTTTACTACATTTTTAAGTTGTCAAATTTATTTATTTACTTTTTTTGGTCTTAAAGCTACTTTCTTAAATTAATTATCAAAATTAATTATCGAGTGTGAAGCCTTATATAATAAATATTAGTAATAAAATGTTTATAAATATATAAATATAAAAAAAAGACAAAGAAGGTGAAACAGTATTTATATTACTATATTCCACATATATTATAAAAATAATAAAGCAAAAAACAATAATTTCAAGAAGGAAAGCAGGATGAAAACGAAAACATTGTGGGTAAATTTTCATAGATTGTTTTAATATAAAAATTACAAAATATATGTTTGACTCGTCTCGTGCTCTGAAAGCATAGAGTGGATTAAATATTGAGCTTCTGTATATTATATAGTGGAAGTTACACACTTTACTGTGCGGCTTTTATTAATCGTGCGAGTAGGTGGGAGGATTTAATATAAAAAGTGGGAGTGTGAATACAATGTGTGTTTTAAGGGGGGAAATGAGTAAAAAGGCCATATAATTAGGCTCGAGTGCAAATAATAATGTGTGACTGTGCTTGGCATTTTGTATACGTGTCCTCAACGTATATGCTGATATGGTGTTTGTGTATGTGTCTCGGCACCTACGCTATATTTAAAAGCTATTATACAACACTTGGGCAAACGCCACAATGTTATTTAACCCCTTCTTATTACCACTAAGCTCTCGCGGTACATTTTTATGTATTTACTATTTTTAGTACCTATAAAACTTTATTATATATATGCGCACATTAGTTCTATATATAATATATAATACAGGTGGATATAATATTTTTTCCATAAAATTTTTTTATTCTCTAATATTCGATTATTTGTTTTTCCTTCCTCATATGAGCGCAGACTTTAAATTAATAAATTTAACTAACAAATTAGTAGAAATTACTATTTATTAGTAAAGTTTACACTTTTTGTAAAAAAAAAGAACTTTAGTATACAATTCACTGACTTTTTGCTTTTGAATCAATAAATTTTACTACCAAATTAGTATGAATTACTAAAATTTACAAATTCAAGAGCACAAATTCAGTTGTTAATTATTAATTAAAATTTTTGTACTAATTCAAATTTAGAGAGTAATATATTTTGTTTTCGAAAAATTGACTAAGTAATTTTCCTAGTCGTATAGTTACAATGTTTATAAATTATGAATAATCATATATTTTAGTTTTGAGCCAGACATTACTGGTTTTAAAACAATTGTCCAAATAAGTTTTTCTTTTTTTGTTTACAGGAGTTTCAATAATTGTTCTGCGTGTTGGGATAGTCAACGGTGACGTGGTGAGTTTTCAAAATAAACATTTATTAATTCTTTTATAAACAAATAGTATACAGATAAAAAGAATTGACGTAACTGCTTAAATTATTCGTTTTTCTGCGTTGATAAAAACGAAGGAATTATGGAAATTTTCCCTTTTTTTTTGATATATTACACGGAGAGAAAATTATATTAAATTTTGTAAAAGTATTTTTGCGAAAAAAATCGTATTTAGCTCAGAAACTTTAAAGAATAGAGTGAGGCACCAATTTGCAAAAGATTTTTGTTTTTTTTTGCATATAATTAACGATTTGCATAAAATTAAAAAAGGAAAGTTAGAAACATAACTAAAGAAACAAAATAAAAATTTTTATAGCCACATTTATAATTACAAGTTTATCTAAAACGAAAGGGCACGCATGCGTCGCGTGGGTTGAAAAGCGCGCCAAAGCGCTCACGTCCCTTGTGAATGCACGTGGGTACACGTGGTTCATCTATATAATACGAAGAGTGAAGAAAAGATGGTGTGTGTGGGGGAGGGTGAAAGAGGGGAATCCGGGAGCTCCGTAAGAATCTCTCTCACAAGGTGGTGGCATCGCAGGACTGTGGGAATTCGGGACATGTGCGTTTCTACACACGTCGTACTCGTGGTCCGCACACGAACGAAGGGGAAATCTTATGGTGTTTGGTAGAGGAGAGAAAGAGAGAGACCGGACCTTTACATATATGTATTTTTCGCCTGCGGCACGTCGACATACCATAAGGCATGAGGAATCCATGGGAATATCGAGCATGTGCATCCTATGGGCTCGTGTGCTGCACGAGTTTAGGGGGGTCGTTATTGGCTTCCGTGAGGCTCACGCATTTTGGGACTCATCCTTATACAAACCTCTCTCTCTTTCTCTCTTTCTCTCTCGCTCTCTACATTTATATATCACAAGTGCAGATCGCGTCTCGAATTAGGGTCCAACTTGGACGTTAATACTTTCAAAGAATAAGATAAATTTTTCTCTCTCACTCTTTTTCTCTCTTTTCCCTCTTTTTCCCTCTTTGTTTCTCCCTTTTTTTCTTTCTTCCTTTTTCTCTTTCTCTCTTTTCCCTCTCTCTCTTGTTCTTTATTCAATCATCCGATTATGATAGAAGTTCATTGAGGGGTGGCTTCATCACATGACTTCCAGTTTCTTGTCAATCTGATCTTTGTTTTCCTCCGCATCATCTGGTTTTTGATTTGACTCTGCGAATTGACTTTTTTTGATTCGTAGTTTAATGTGCGACTCAAATTCGCAATTTTTTTTTAGAAACGAAGTCGAAAAATAACAAGAAATTTATTAATTTAGGTTCAAATTTTAATTACTGAGATCCATGAAGTAAGCGTCGAAAAATATTAAGATATTGACTATTTTGGGTTTAAATTTTAATTATTTGAGGTCCTTGAAGTTATCGTCGATGCTCAGCGTCTAAAATTCTTCTTTAAACTGCGACTTTTAGAGATGAAAATGTCAATAATTTAGGTTCTTGAAAGTTAGCGACGAAAACTGTTCTTTAAAACTTTTATTAGAGATGAAAAAGTCAATAATATTATTTTAGCTTTCTGAATTTAGTGTCAACACTATGAGCTTTGAAAAATAATAAAATATTAATTATTTTTGGTTCAAATTTTAATTACTTGAGGTCCCCGAAGTTAGCGTCGACGCTCGGTGTCGAAAATGTCATTAATTTAGATCCTTGAATTCAGCGTCGACAATGAGCGTTGAAAAATAATAAAATATTAATTGTTTTAGGTTCAAATTTTTGTTTCTGAATTTAGCGTCAACGCTAAGCGTCGAACCATTTTTCTTTAAAGGTTTTATATAAAAAGGAACTACTTTGCTAAATCTTTTAACTTCCTAAATAAAAGAAATAAAATTAGTGATATTGCTCCAAATAATAATTTTTGATATTTTTGCTTCTGAAAAAAAAATTTTTAGTGAAAAAATAACTGAAAAATTATAATTTTTTAGTTATTTTAATTATTTAACTAAAAATTTAATTAATTTAAACTATTTTAACTATTATCAGTTAGTTTAACTATATAGTTAAACTTGACTTATTGAATCAGTCAAAAAACATTTTCTGAATCATCATTTATTTTTAACTTAAAATCAGTTATTTTTAACTAATTAGCAGAAGAAATATATTACTATTTGAATTTATTAGTGACTGACTTTTTGCTTCTAAATCAGTTATTTTTACTTGATTAAAATTTAGAGAGTAAAGATATGAAATTGAGACAAAAAACAAATCAAAAATGTTGCGAAGCAACTTTTTGATTAGTTTTTTGTCCAAATTCTTAACATATATAATTCGTGCAAAAATTTAAATTTTTAATAATAGTTTTAATAAAATTTCGATAAAATTAGTTCCATTGGTTAATTGACTATAATTCTTTTAAAATATTCTATGAAAATTCTACTATGTTCACTAGAATTTTTCGAAAAAAATGATTCTTGAAAAGTCTGGTAAAAATTAGTAGGAATTTTGTTACTATACTAGAAAAATTAATTGTTAGAAAATAATTAGAATTCCACACTTGTTGTAAAAATTATTATTATACACACCGAATATCAACTTATTGTTTCGAGAATACTTGAAATTCTCCTTGTGCGCGGGGAAAAAAAAACTTGTTGCTTCACAATCATGTAATGTCTTAATTCGAGCTGCTTGAAATATTTTCCATATATACAATACCATACAGAGTATTTATTTTGAGCGCCTCATTTGATGAGAGAGAGATAGAGAAATTCTTTTTCTCTTTATATACATATACGGGGACTCAATATGTGTATCACAAAATAATAATGATGCGAAAGTGCTTCGTTATACGGATAATATTTTTTTTCTTCCCCCTCTGAGAAAAATATATATCGCTTCTTTGTGGATTTTTCTCCTCCTTTTCTTACTGTTCTTTTTCTTTTTTTTAGTTTTCTTCTTTTCTCTCTCTCTTTATTTTTGTTCTTTTCTTTCTGTTTTAATTTTTGTTCTTTTCTTTCTCTTTTTATTTTTGTTCTTTTCTCTCTTTTTATAATTTTTGTTATTTTCTTTCTCTTTTTTTAATTTTTGTTCTTTTCTTTCTCTATTTTTTATATTTTTTTTCTTTCTCTGTTTATTTTTGTTCTTTTTTTCTGTTCTAATTTTTGTTCTTTTCTTTCTCTATTTTTTTTTTTGTTTTCTCTGTTTATTTTTGTTCTTTTCTTTCTTTTTTTATTTTTGTTCTGTTCTTTCTCTTTTTTTTAATTTTTGTTTTTTTTCTTTCTTTTTTTAATTTTTGTTCTGTTTCTTTCTCTTTTTTTAATTTTTGTTCTTTTCTTTCTCTTTTTATTTTTGTTCTTTTCTTTCTCTTTTTATTTTTGTTCTGTTTCTTTCTCTTTTTTTTCTTCTTTTCGTTTTGCGAAAGCTACGCCTTCGTTTCCTTCTTCTTCTTCTTCTCATAATCAGTCACATAATTTTGTAATGTCGAAAACGTCGTTGCTCGAGGGGCCAAAAAAGGATTGGCCCACCTGCAAAGGGGGGCAATCTGTGCCCTGAAAGCACGGATGTACGGTTATTAGGGTATCGTGTGCGCGCCGTTTTACGCTTCACTCGATATGACTCTCCACTCGCTCTTCTTCCGAAATGTTTACGGTTTTACGACACAAGAGAGAGAGAGAGAGAGAGAGACAAACAATCTCGAGATGATCATCAGTGTCCCTTTTCATGGGTAAAAAAAAAATTATGGCTTCATCAGATTTCTCAATATTGACAGTTTGAATATATAAAATTTGTCTCTTATAAAAAAAAGAACAAACCCAAATTTTAATTCTTCGATTTTAATAATTTCCGTTCGGTAATTTTTTCTTCTTTTTTTTTTACTGAAAGAGTTGCTTTATACTATTTTTTGCTGTTATTTCTTTTCCTGGTTATTAAAGAAAGAAACTTTTTAAATCCGAATTAGTGAAATGTTATAAAAAAACAATTCCTGAAATAGCAAAATTTAACGGAAATTTCTTAGAAAAAGAAAATTAAAAATAATGTCTAAACTTCTTTTAGTGAAAAGTCTACGACTTTTCACGAAAAGAAATTTAGACATTATTTTTAACATCGAAGGAAACAAAATTCTACTTCTTTTTTTTTGGCTGTAATAAAAAAAATAAAAATAATGAAATAAGAATAAAAACTTTTGATTTTGTCAGTTAAGAGGAGACTTAATTGGCATAAGGGAATTTTTAGCGAGTCGGTTGTTTGTACTACAAAGGTGAAAAACTTGAGAGTAAATAACGTAGTATCCGGTGTCCATTCATTGTATTATCTCTGCTCGAGTGGGCCGATGAGTTCTTTTTCTTTTTCGAGTTTACGTTGCGCATTTAGCACCTGACTGGCAAACAGGCATGTAACATTAGCCTTTTAAAGAAGAAAAAAAAAAAAAAAAAATTTGCGTATTGTGTAGCATCATTCAGCTCTCGACTGAGAATGAATTTTTTTTTGTCAAACACGATGTTCGTGCGTAGAATTTACTTTCTTAGAATCATCTTCTTATAATGTATTTAATATATATTTTAGAAGATTGTGTGTCTCATGTGAAACTCTATATTATTTTTCAAACTATGCACATCCTTATTTTTGAAAGTGTACACTTTGATTTTTATAAAGAGATCCGGTCCGGATTTTGGGGAAGATTTTTTTGCGAAATTTGGTATAAATTTTATTTGTGACGAATTTAATTTTTGATTTAAAACAAATAAAGAATTTGGTAGAATACAAAAAATAAAACAGTTCAATGCTCTCGCTACTTATAATTTTTTTGAGTGTATAATTTGAATTTGATATTTAATTCGCATGATGATTTTTAAATTTAATAGCTGCGATATCGGTCACATATATCCGTGATGCTTGTTAATAAAGGCGCGATAAATCCATTTTGAAAAGATTAATTATAGCGACGAAACTTTCTCTCGTTATTCGGTAGGTAATAAGTGGCAACTGCAAATTTAATAAGGTATTATGAAAA